GGGTCACATGCACACTCCAATAGGCTTCTCGGAGCTTACGCCTCCCATCCTTTAACTGTCTTTGAAGGCTCTGTTCCTTGCCCTTCAACACATCATTGAGCCCAGCATGAATAATGACGAGATTTTTGCCCTTCATGCTGTCTTCTACAACCTCCTGAGCTTTGGCCCAAGCATCCACCATGCCCTTCCTTGACTGGGCCTCCACCCTCACTCTCCCATCTTCCTTCAATGTCATGAAGACGCCATCCCTAACCCTGGCCACGTTAGAGTCTCCCACCACCAGGACCCTTCTACGCTCCAATCGCTAGCTTCCTGTTTGTGATTGCACCCCTGTTTGCTTCACCTGTTTCTTTTTCTACCGTCTATCCTGTGCTCCTGCCCTGCTCGCCGCGCCACAGAGCTGTATGTTCTCGGGGTTTCCGTGCTGTGGCCAGACATTGCGGCCCCCTGACCTCCCTTCTCACCTGCTCCTTCCCGCCTGTCACCACACGACAGTGCCATCTGGCAGTAATGTGAAAAACGAAAGTTTTTTAAAAGGCGGAGCCACTGGCACGGGGCAGCACCATGGGGTTTCTCAGGGACATGAAACAACCTCCTAACAATGCGGACAATGCGTGGGAATATTGTAATAGAACAGAAGGCAGCAGGAAGGGGGATGGTATTGGGATATTCATTCATAAAAGTACAGACTGGCAAAGGGTCAAGCAGGAGTGCAAGGAACATTTATGGCTAAAAGGGAGTGTGGCAGGGCAAATGACACTCTTTGGTTTCGTGTACTTGTGGACGGGAGCAAAGGCCAGAGAGGAAAACCAGGCAATGGTAGAGTGTATATCAAAGGACATTCAGCAGTTAGGAGGAGAGTGCAAGATAATTATACTAGGAGATATTAATGCACACATAGAAGATAAAGATGGGTATACCGACCCGACAGGCAAAATGATCATGGATATGTGTGAAAGGCTTGATTTGATCATTTGCAACAGTACGGAGAAGTGTGAAGGGCACATAACATGGGAGGTAGGAAGGCTGCAGTCCACGATAGATTACGCACTGATGTCACATAGGATGTATGATAAGCACAGGGGAATGCACATAGATGAAGGTGGCTCCAGACGTCTGGGTAGTGATCACAAACGTAACAAGCTAAGTTTTGGAAGAGCAGTGAAAGTAAGAAGGAGACAAGATGAGCAACTACAGGAAAATTTTTATTCAGAAAGGCAAATTGAAATAGCAACTAAACAAATTGAGAAAGTAAACACTGAGGATAATAAAACAGTGTGGACATACACGGATCTAATTAGACTGTTTGAGCTAGAGCTAGCTAAGGCACGGGACAAGTCACCCCAGAAAAGAAGACACAAACCCAAAAGTTGGTGGGATGAGGAAGTTAAGAGAGCCATAGCAAAACTTCAGGAAGCCTCTAGGGAACACAGACATGCTAAGCAGCGGGGTGAACCGACAGATGATGTTAAAAGAAAATGGGAAATCTTTCTAAGCTATAGAAGGGATGCATCCCTTCTGATCAATAAAAAAATTAGAAGAAAGGGAGCCCAGTGGTTGGCAGAAGTAGATAAAAAAGACAGAAAAGCAGCTGCAAAATTTCGGAACCATCTAAACTCCCTAAGAAATGAGACGAGCCTAGAGCAGATGTTTATAACTACAGCTCAAGGTGCTAGGCTAGAAGGGGACGAAGCTATTGAATATATAAGAGCAAGGGTGATAGAAAAATTTCAACAAAGAAGTGCTTTATGCACCACTATAGACAAGGATGAATCAAGTGGCGCTATGGCTCCATTTTCACAACAAGAGTGGGAAAGGGCTGAGAAAAGGGTTCCTAGTAGTACATCAACACGCCCAGAATATGCTGATAAAGACATTAGGTCCGAAGTCTAAGCAGGCTTCAAGAGAGGCAGTGAGCAAAATAATAATCGATGGAGAAGTTCCCGATGGATGGAAACTTAGCAGGATGAGCATGATCTATAAAGGAAAGGGAGACAAAGCTGACATAAACAACTACCGTCCTATAACAAAGACATCAGTGGTCTACAGGCTGGCGACGCAGATTATAAAGGAAAGACTGCAGGCATGGATAGAGGATGAGGGGGTGCTGGGGGAACTGCAGAATGGGTTTCGGAAACACAGGAGGTTGGAAGACAATCTGGAAGAATATCTATAAAGGTAACAAGGTAATTATAAAGTGGGAAAAACAGGTATCCAAGCCTGCAAAGGTAAAACGGGGGCTTAGGCAGGGGTGTCCCCTGTCACCCTTATTATTCATGATGTACCAAGGATTAGAGGCCAAATTAGAGGGAAGTGGACTGGGCTTCAACCTCTCTTTCGTCAAACAAGGAAAACTCATTGAACAGGCACTACCAGCATTGATATACGCCGATTATATAGTGCTAGTGACCAACAACAAAAAATATTTGCAGGAGATTGATGGACATCTGCAGTAATGAGGGAGATAGGTTAGATTTCAGATTTAGTAAGGAAAAATCAGCAGTCATGATTTTTAGTGATAATGAAGGTAGTGAGCTTAGAATACAGGAGGTCACGCTAGAGGTAACAGATAAATAAAAATATCTGGGCGTAAGGATAAGCAATGGGGCCGAGTACCTAAGGGAACACGAAACATACGTGACGACTAAAGGTAACAGGAATGCAGCGGTAATGAAAAACAGGGCACTGTGGAATTACAATAGGTATGATGTTGTGAGAGGAATATGGAAAGGGGTCATGGTTCCTGGTCTGACGTTCGGCAATGCGCTCTTGTGCATGAGATTAGAGGTTCAAGCAAGATTAGAAATTAAGCAACGTGGAATAGGTAGGAGCTCACGGAAATAGACCAAATCAGGCAGTACAAGGTGATATGGGATGGACATCATTTAAGGGCAGGGAAGCTAGCAGCAAGATAAAATTTGAGAAGCGATTGAGAGAAATGGGAGAGGAGCGTTGGGCTAGGAAGGTATTCAGCTACTCGTACATGAAGAATGTCGATACAAAATGGCGGAAGCAAACCAGAAAATTGACTGGTAATTACTTGGAAAACAGCAGGGGGCCAAACCAAAAAGAATTATCGGTTAAGAAGAAGGTGAAGGAAGCTGAGACCGATATGTGGAGAATTGACATGATTAAGAAGTCCGCCCTAGACATCTATCAAACTTTTAAGCCGGAAATTGCCAAGGAAAGGATCTATGATAATACTCGGGGTAGTTCTCTACTGTTTGAGGCCAGGACGGGAGTATTGCGAACCAAGACATATCGGGCCAAATACGAAGGGGTAGACATGGTATGCAGTGCGTGTGGAGAGGAAAAAGAAACTGCGGAACACTTGATAATTTTCTGTGAAGGGCTTCACCTTATACTTCAGGATGATGGCGCAGAGTTTTTCAAAGAACTGGGGTTTAGGGACAGTGAGGGCAAAATAGACTTTAAGCGGGTAGAATTAATTAGAAGGAGGTTATATGATTGGTGGCTAAAGTCAAGGCACGAGTGAAAATTAAACCCTGCACTGCAAAGTACGAATCCTCAACCTCACTATTTGAGGGAAAAAAATAAATCTAGTTTTTGGTTCATTAAGTATTTTTTACGGCTTGGTGGCGCTAGCCACGGCCCGATATAAAGGGTACAGCCATATCCATCCAGTTACAACCCCTAAAAATTTTAGCGAAGTGTAGGAAACACCCGCTTTTTTATCATAGTGTTGCATTATCAGCGCAGCATAATAAACACTTTGGTCTTTAGAATTACATATTCATGCATTTTCTAAATAAGAAGACACACGGCCTAACAACTGTGTATTGACGTTGCGAATCAAATACGCGCAATATTTGCTTTTTTATTGACAATGTTCACAAGTATGAACGCAGCCACCAGATCGATACAGGTAGGTGTTGACTAAGGGGGTTAAACTTGCACCGGACGGCCGAATTATTGAACAAACACCAACCGAGAGACCCAAATTTTTGCATTGAAGTATCCCATAAGATCAGTCTTTAAAAAGAAAAGCAGTATTTGTGCCGTTGCTTCTGGAACGCGGCACGTCGAACATCGCAGTGCCTTCACCAAAGTGATCGGCTACGGTCACACACAGCACACTGTGTCGAGACATGGACTATGCAGGTGGTTCAATTCATCCGATGAGACAATGCAGTACCTTGTTCTCTTATGACAATTAGCGTAAACAAGTTGCGTACACAAACGGAGCCACCGCCGCTGACTATGCGTATTTCAAGCAGTCGCGCTTAGAGATTATCAACCAGGCTCCTTCAATTGCCATTTATACACTTTGTCGACTTAAATCTCGACCTCTGAGGGCTCTCCCGATCCCCCCCTTCCCGGAACCCCGCAATCAAGAATGGTGGGAACCAGGGCAATCAAGGATGGTGGTGCAAATTGCACATTACGAAACAAGCCCCATAACTTGAGCTACTGGCCGTTTAACGCGAGTTTTTTCAGATTACATGAATTGGTTTAATGCGAGTTTTAAACTGTTGTGATTATTTCACCACTGGTTTACTTGGCAGATTCCGACACCTCCGAATGTTCTAAATGTAACTGTAATGCGTCTCTTTCTCAATAAAGTAACTTGCAACACTGCACACTATACACTTGTCACGTATGTGCTCCGTGGTTTCACTTTGCGAGCAACCTCGCATCGTCTTTCGATCGGAGGGCATGCTGTCGCCCACGCGGAGATTAAGAGAACGGAGGCGTTCGCGCGTCACACCCAAATGCTGTAGTACCGTTACTTGCGAAAACCTTACACGTACATACACGCGCAGCTGAGGTCGCACGAGCAATCATCACGATGACGCGCAGACTCTCCACCCAATCGACCCCAAACAAGAGCTTTCGCGCGACGTCAGCTGATACGATGGAATTCACACAAGCTGGTCGGGAATTCATGGAGTTGTTTCCGACGAGGCGTTTAATCCGTACGTAAGCGGATGTTTTGATCAGCTTAGTCCTAGCGACGATGCACCAGCGTGATGACCCACCTGACAGCCGCCGACGGTTCCTCCGCCCGTTGAGGCGAACCGGGGAGTCTTCATCCATTCTGTTTTAACACTCAGCGCAGCATCCGAATACATTGGCCTTCATCGCTGTATCCGCACGAGACACACATGTGGAATCACCACAACACAAACGCGACGGCTGGCTAGTTGTTGCAACCTGGACGGTCGGACCGTCGGAGGAAGGAACGCAAAGACGGATATTGCAATACACCAAGGGAATCCGCGCACACAGGGGCTCTTCGATTTTCCACTTCTGGCTACCCGCAGGTTGCGAGAGCCAGCCGCGCTCACAGAACACCTACTGTACTGGCGCGCTCGTTTTTCTCGGGTTGCTCCCCCCCCCCCCCCCCCCCCCCGCGGCGCACTTCCGGTTCTTTTCTCCGTGTCGGGTTGGATCACGGAGGAAGGAAAAAGGTTTCCTCCGTGGGTTGGATGTTCAGCGACCCGCGGGGAGCCCCAGGGTCGCCAGACGCTTCCAGAACAATTTAGTCGTGGACGCTTTCTGGAAGGTTTTGGGCAGGTTTCGGGCTAGCAGACGCCGAAAAGGTACGATGCGCGCTCGGTGTCATCTTTGGGAAAACTCGATGGACCGTAATGTGGGCGCTTGAGGACGGCACCTTCGCTTGTCATTACGCGTGGCGTTATCTTCTAAAGCCTGTTCTGCCTTGAGAGATGAGGCGATTACAATTGGCAGCGAGTGTTTGAAGCTACTGTTCATCACATTTGTTATGTTTCCTGTGAAGCTTCCTCCGGTGAACAACGCGGTCATTTCTCTATGACGCGGTGAACTGTTGCCTGTTGACTGCGTCGTGCACATGTACGTAGTACCAACGCCTCCTAGATGTCCTGTACCTGCCGGATGAGCGCGAAACACCGGTCATCTGTGGCGGCACTGCCTACGTAGTAATAAGGACCTTTGTACTTGGCCTTTGTGGCAATTTTGGCGTTTGTTACTAATTTCAGAGGATTCCTTGTAATAAAAAAAGTTGTTTGTTTAATGACAACTTCACTTACGTAGGGTTAGTTGTAATTACGTTTACGCCTTGTTAAAACTTTTTTACGTTATTTTTATTGCATTTACACTCAAGAAAAGTAAAAACTTATTTGAAGACATTCCTACTTGAGTGACGCCACCACTTTAGTTCCAACGACCGCTGCTTCCCAAGTGACCGCCGATAATCCGGCAGGCACAGGAAATCTAGGAGGCGTTGGAAGTACACGTTCGTAGCACCAACGCCTCCTAGATTCTTGTGCCTGCCAAATAAGCGCGAAACATATGTCATCTACGGCGGCGCTGCCTACGTAGGAATAAAAAATTTTTGTCTTGGCCTTTGAGATCGGCAATTTTGGCGTTTGCTGCTAATTTCAGAGGATTTCTTGTATTAAAAAGTTTCTTCTTGAATGAAGGCGTCACTTACGTAGGGTTAATTATAAGTGCGTTTACATCTTTTTAAAACTCTTTACCGTTAATTTGGTTGCATATAGGCCCCAAAAACGAAAAAGCTTATTTGAAGACACCCCTACTTGAGTGGCGCCATCACCGTAGTTCCGACGACCGCCGCTTCCCAAGTGACCGCCGGTAATCCGGCAGGTACGGATAATCTAGGAGGCGTTGGTAGCACGCATGGAGACAACTTCAGAGTTTTTTTTTTTTTTTTTTTTCGTAGTAGTCGTTTGTAAAGCTGTACCTGCTTTCTATGCACTTAGTGAAAACGATTGGGATCGAACCAGCTCGCGCCGTCGTATATTTGCGTACTTGAACCTCTTAGAACCTCCGGCCTGACTACTCGATTGATCTTCGATGGTGATAGAAGGCCCTAGATCGCGACATCAGCTGTCATATTAACAGATTCCCTATCTCTCTGTGCGGCACTTTCTGTTGGTGCTGATAATCACGTAACAAAGGCGTTCCGTGCACTAGTACCTGCGCATTTGAGAAAAGTACGATTACTTTGGGTGCCTGAACATAAATGTTTGTTTCTAAATGAAATAGCCGATTCCTTAGCTAAGTCGCCAATCAGCGAACCAATTCTACCGCTCTGTCCATCATCCGCTTATGTGTCTGCTGCTCGATTCAGCAGACATACGCTTCTGCAAGTCTTTAAAGGTTCAGCACTAACAAACTCTGCAGAATATCGCCATTTATTATATCCCTGGCGAAGAGACTTTTGCCACACTCGAAAACAGGAAGTAGCTATCACAAGGCTGCGTTGCCGGGTACCAAATCTAAATTTCTATAAACACAGGTCGGCTCAGGCACCTTCGCCACTGTGTGCATTCTGTGATAAGCTGGAACAATAGACCATTTCTTTTTGACCTGCAGGTGGTTTAACACATTGCGAAAAACCCTATTAGAAATACCTTTACGTGGTATTGGTATGGACCTATCTCTGCCTGTCATTTTGTCTTTTGGAGCTTGCATTTCTGGTTTCTCTAATGCGACAGTATGCGCGGCCATCCGGGACTATATTGATGAAACTAATAGGTTGACTAATTAACCAGTTTCATTATCCTAACATGTTCACATAATTATACACGTATAAAATCAGATTATTGCTCTATTCTTAGAACAAATTCGTTTATTTAAATATTTGTATGCATTACATTAAGCACCACACTTTCCTAGGCTATCGGTAATCTTTCTGTTATACCTCCATCATTCCAAACCTTAACAGTAAATTTTAAAAACACTCGAATCTTGGCCAATCCCCCACAGTGGGTATGCGCCACTAACAATAGGAGAACAACAACGACGACGACGACTGTTGGTGATGCTGGCTGGTCGCGAACGGCGTGCGAACCCATTTCCATATATGAGCCAGTAAATGTGGTATGATATTATGTGATACGGTGCGAGAAAAAAAACGGAGAATTGATTCAGAAATGTATACATCCTTTCGTGGCCCGTTTCATCGTTGGCTTTGTCTTTTTTCACCTCTTCGTAATAATGCCGCACCGTACGTACTATGGCCTAGTAGGTCGAATCTAAGCTGATATACATGACATTCGTTAAGTGCCACTTAGGACTGAAAAACCGGCCTAGGCAAGTTCAAAAAATGGGTCGATAACGTGTCATGCAAATGTTTATTTTATATACGACGCACACTCGTGGTACGGATACCTGCGCATATCATAAACTTTATACAAAAACGTAAGTTGGTCAACGTGTGTTTGCGACGTATGATGCGCGATAGCTGAGCAGCTATACATCTTCAGGCTCTTTTGGGGACACGATCACTTTCGTGTGACTTCTCGTCATGCTGTGCAGTGATTGATGCATGTAATAAAAAAGACGTGAGCTTGTCAGGCCGTCACCATCACGGCAGCTCACCTTGCATGGCAGCTCACCTTGCAGCTCACCAGCAGCTCACCTTGCAGTGATCGTGCGAGCGTGCGAAGTCGTACCCCAAATGCGTACGCCTAGAAGATATTACTTCAGCTTTTTGGTGAGCTTAGCTACGTATTTCCAAGCGGACGATGTGAAAAAAAAAACAACATACACGCGGTGCATTGTTTTGTTTGCTGCCATGACGGTAGAGTTTGTTTACGCTGGCTGTCCTGCGTTCGATTTTGTGACCTTTGGGCTGTCGCCGGGCGTGCGCGTAGCCAGCTACGTCATTTCCACGGTGGTCATTTCCTGTCAAAACCGGATGCAGCAGTAGCTTTCGGGGAGCGCGCGGGTCTCCAGAACCAACCCAGCAATCCTAATGCACTCGCTGATGGCCCTATATTTGTTTTTTCTCTTATTGTTTCTTTTGTAGCTAACATATGGCAGCGTCTCCTGCGCCGTGCAGCGGGCACCAAAGCTGTATTGGGGCTAGACCTGAATAAAGCTTTCGGCCATGTTTCGCATGAGGCAATATTGAATAATCTATCGGAAATCGGCCCAGGGGTCAGGAAATTTCGCTACATCAGATTGATTGATTGATTTGTGGGGTTTAACGTCCCAAATTTCGCTACATCAGATCATTCTTGGAGGGCCGAACCGCAGAAATTTCAATTGGAGATATCAAATCAGACTCATTCGTGTTGGGAGGCAAAGGGACGCCGCAGGGTTCAGTTTTGTCACCGTTCCTGTTTAACATCGCTTTAATTAAAATACCGCCGAGGCTGGACGAGATACCGGGACTCAAACACACATTTTATGCAGATGATATTACTCTATGGGTAAGCAGGGGTAGTGACGCGCATCTGGAAGAAACACTACAACAGGCAGTTAATATTGTCGAAGAGTTGGCAGGAGAGGCGGGACATTCGTGCTCTCAGCCCAAGTCTGAGCTCTTTGTGATTCGGGACAAACCCAGAGGGCTACATGCAAGACACTATATTCCGCCACCGCCGTTAGAGGTAAAGGTAGGGGGTAGGCCGGTAGCTGAAGCTCGAACGATTAGAATTCTTGGCCTATATCTGCAAAGTAACAGGAAGAATAGGGTGGCCCTTGAAAAACTTAAGACTACGCTCAATGCTATACTGTCAGGCTAATCAGAAGAATCGCTAACCGTAAGAGCGGGGTTAAAGAAAAAGAACTCTGTAAGCTGGTACAGGCATTTGTGCTCAGCAGGATTACTTACGCGACACCTTATATGAAGTTGGATGCTGCAGAAAAAGGTAAGGTCGAGGCTATGATCCGGCAAGCTTACAAAGCAGCGCTTGGGTTGCCTAACAACGCGCCTCAGAAAGGCTGTTAAAACTAGGGGTACACAACACCCTGGATGAATTATGGGAGGCGCATCTGGTGATGCAGCACGCTAGGCTTTCGACAACCAAAGCGGGCAGGATCATATTGGAAAGGATTGGCATTGGAGCAGAGGCTCCCACTGGGGACAATAAAATTCAGGTGCGGTGAGAGTTACATAAGGCCCTGCAAAAAAACCTTTGCCCAAAAATATGCATCCGATTCACCATACGCAGCGCAGGGAGGCAAGAGCCACAGCTTTATACGTTGAGTACGGCGAGTACAAAGCGGCAGTCTGTACAAATGTTGCGGAATATAAAAACAAAGACGCTTTTGTGATTGTGGTGGTGGACAGGCGGGGACGCTTGATCGCCTCTGGATTGCTCAAAACCCGCTCCTCGGAAACTGCAAAGGAAGCGGCAATAGCGCTAGCTATAACTAATTCACAGTCGGATTTGATTTTCAGTGATTCAAAGACAGCCATCCGAAATCTGGTGAGGGCCAGAATATCGATGACCACCGCACGATTTCTGCATTGGGCCACGGGACGAGAAATTAGAGAAAAAGAAATTGTCTGGGTACCAGCACACTCTGGGAACCCTGGGAACGAGGCGGCTCACCTTCCTCCAGGGCCTGCTTTAATG